GGGTTAGAGTGCCATGGCATCAGCCTAGCTCACAGCAACCTCAAACTCCTGGGCTCAAGTGATCCTCCTGCCTCAGCCTCCTGAGTAGCTGGAACTACAGGCATGCGCCACCATGCCTGGCTAATTTTTTCTATTTTTAGTTGTTTGGCCAATTTCTTTCTATTTTTAGTAGAGACAGGATCTCGCTCTTGCTCAGGCTGGTCTCGAACTCCTGAGCTCAAGCGATCCACCTGCCTCGGCCTCCCAGAGTGCTAGGATTACAGGCATGAGCCACTGCGCCCGGTCTGAGCTTTTGTTTTCTTATCCGTAAAATGAAGACTGCAATGTTTGCCCTGCTTACCTCATGGGTTTGTTGTGAGGATGAAATGAGGTGTCAGTGTTTTGCATGCTGTAAATACCGAACATACACAGGGATTTTTGTGGTTAATAACGCAGGTGTAATTAACCTAATGAAAATGGCCCCCTTTTAAGCCTGTCATTCCTTAATGTCTCTCTTTCTGCACACCCATCACTGACCCAGTCACCTGAAGTATCCAGCAGATAACTTCAACTAAGTGTGAAGGGCAAGGTCAAATCCAGAGAGAGTGGGGAGAGAGGGGAGATAGGCTCAGAGCCAGCTGTTCCCATCACTAGGTTCTGGGGAAGTCTTAGCTGCTGTTGGAGACTCCCAGTTCCTCACAGACAGGCCAGGATTCTTAGCCAGGCCAAGTATGGTAGGAGATGTCCAACCACGATGGCAGGCTGCAGGAGGAAAGGAGGTGCCGTGGGCAGACTCATCCAAGCAGTGGTTAGATGTTCCAGCTCTGGGTCACGTAGTACTAGGTTCAAATGCTGGCTCCATCACAGGCCAGCTGTGTGGGCCTGGGTAAGTGGCTTTACCTCTCTAAACCTCAGTTTCCTCATCTGTAAAATGGGGACCCATAATACCTACCTCCTTGAACTATAGTGAGGATGCGGTGGCATAACTTATGTAATGTGCTCAGTACTGTATCAGTAGTATCGAATGAGGCTGAAACTGAGCTCCTTGAGGGTGAGGAACCAGGTATTCTTCTTTGTGTCTTCAGCACCAAGCACAGTCCGTGCCGTTGAAACAAAACAGAATAGGATAATGGGAGAGGGGCGGTAGGGGTGTGGTGGGAAAGGGACCCACAGAGATGAGGCTGGGCAGGTGGGTTCAGCTGGAATGTGAAGGGCCTTGAATGCCTTGCCAAAGAATTTGGGTGCTGAGACACTTTTAATAAGGGAGTGACAGATGTGGTTTTAAGGAAGATAACTTTGGAGGCTCTTCAAGGGTGACCTGGAAGGGAGCCGAATGGAAGCCACAAGACCAAGCAGGAGACAGTGAAACAGAGGACCTGGGGAGGAAAAGGCAGCTTCCAGAAACATCTCAGAAGCTGAATCCAATGGGTGACCTATTGGTTATGGAAGGAGCAGGAATTTGGTATTCTAGGGATGTTATCAAGTCATCCAAAGGCTCTGTTCTGTTTCCTGTGGTAGCAAGGAAGGGGAGGGGGAAGAACAGACACAGTCTCCCCTTAGCAAACAGTATTTCAGAAACCCAGTCCCTGGTCCTGACATCAGAATGTCACTGGTCACCACATGGATCAGAGTGCGTGCGTGTCTCAGAGAAGGGGGTGTGTGACCACACTTCCCCGCGTGAGTTTCCCCCGGAACTGGGGGAACTGTCCATGCCAAAGCTACAGGCAGCCTCAGATAAAGAAGTTTTGTTGTATTTAGCAGTAAAACTCCATCCTGTTCTGAGACACAGTAGTAAGATTCAGCAGGATGGGCCACAGATTCTAGACGATGGGTTGTTAAATCTGACTGGAGCCTTGCTGACGCTTTTCTTAGCTAAACGAGCTGCTAAAGGAAGAGCTACTGATCATACCAAGTTCTGATACACTCTGAATGGCAGAGGTTGAGTTTTATCCCCAGATTTTCTTGAAGGGAATCACTTAGTGTCCATTTTGCCTGGATGGTGACTTAGTAGGAAGGCAAACCATGGTGACTACTATTGATGGAGCACTTACTATGTGCTAGGCACTGCGCTGAGTGCTGAACTCGAAATACTTATTTAATCCTTACAGCATCCCCTTGAAGAAGGTTAAATATCACTCTCACATACATGCACATTTTATTCTTTTTACTTGATTATTGTCTCCATTTACAGGTGAAAAACTGATGTGCAGAGAATTTCACTAATTTAGCTAATAAGTGGTGGAGTCAGGACTTGAACCCAGGCAGTCTGCTTTCCAAGCTGCCTCACTTAACCACCAGCCACACTGTCCTGTGCTGCTTTGGGGTGTAAAGCAGAACAGAGAGACTACTAGGAATTGTTTAGACATGCCTTCTGATTTCTTATCACCCTGCTAATAGACGTCTGTTGGATTTCGGTCACAGATGCCTCGTGCACTCGGGATTTCAGACACTGTGCATTAAACCCTTGCCAATTTCCCAGGAGTGAGTTAGAGGAGCACCAGCCTGCTTAAGGGAAGAAGTCTGGGTTAAAGAGCGATCCCATAAATTCCGTTTCGTTATTAATGATTGTTCTGCTTCACATGTGGTAGCACATTTCCCTCTGTTTCCAGATCTATGATCACTCTGATACTCGAGGGTGGTGGAGGTAAGACAGATAAGATCATCTTCATTTCTCAGATGAGCAAATTGGGACTTGGCAAAGACGCACACGTACGGTTACACATAAAGCTCTGTGGGAGTGGAGTGAAGGGGGAACCGGATATTTCTGGGCAAGAGCTAATCTACAGGACCTGTTTAATATATCACTTAAGAATTGTTTCTTATTAGCAATATCTATTCACTTAAAATTCATGCCCTAAAATCCTTGAAAGAAGTTTGTTCCCACACACCTATTTGCATCTTGTGTATACTCTTTATTTTTCCAAGCAAGTCTTATGTGTAGAGATTCTGTAGCTAGGTACAATTAATACGGATTCTAACTTTGCAGAGGCAGAAATAACAACTGAGGATTTGAGTTAACTCTTGTTCATCAGAAAGCCCGGTTTAGTGCCGTCATGTGCACTTTGCGGCATGTCTTCTCTTAAAGCTGTGGCTAGAGTCACGCTTCCCAAGAAATGTGAATGCAAACCTGTGTCCTCTTTGTAGCCTGTACAAGGCTTCGATTACGCCAAGCAACACCTGGGCCAGCAAGGGGCGGACGAGGAGGTCATTCCCGTGACTCAGGAAACGGTGGTCCTCCCACTGCCCGTGAGAGACGCGCCTCAGGAAAGAGACATCGCGCAGGACGGAAGCACCGTCAAGACGGCCAAGTCCACTGAAACCAGAAAGAGGTAAGCGCGGGCCGACTCCTGCCCCTCCATGCCAGCAAGAGAAATAACGGATGCTGAGAACAGCTGATGCCCTCGAGTTAGTGCCACTGTTCTCTTTAAAAATTCCCCTTCATGCTCGTTTTGAATATTTGAAAAGGAGACCAAGGGAGATGACGAGAATCACAATACCTGCTTTGTATGAGCCACCTTTTGTAAGGTTTTCTATCGCCGATAACCACAACAGCAGAGACTTAGCTCTTATATTTACTATAACAAGTTTGGCACTGATGTCACACTTATATTTTTAACTTATATTAGAAGCAGTGTCTTTGATTCAATGCAATCGTATTTTACCTGGCAATTTCTCAATAGAGTTTCCAATTTCAGTTGACACCATTTATTCAGTTTTTTACTAGGAACAGAATACTCCAACAGGCTTTAGGAGGACAATAGAAATGTATGAGGTTGATCCCCGACCCCAAGGATCTTGTGATGGAGAGAGAGAGAGAGAGAGAGAGTGAACTGGAATACCAAGCACGATGTGTGGGTGCCTACCAGGGAGTCTGAGTAGAGAGCTGTAGGAAAGAGAGGAGGGAGACCTTCATTCTGACCAGGGGAAGCATCGTGGAGAAAGTTATGCCTTAACTGAGCCTGGAAGGGTGAGTGGGATCGGAATTGGTGGGAAGAGATAAAGGCATCCAGTGTGAAAGAGTGGGGAGAGAGGAGGGGCAGGCACGTTCTCTAAATGGTGAGTGTCCCTGGAATTGAGAGTTCACAGTGGCTGGGGTTTGGTGAGGGATGAGAAGATAGATTAAAATTGCGGAAGGTCTTGATCGCAAGGCTAAGGAGTCTCACCTTTGTTCTCTAGGCAATGGGCAGCTACTGAAAGGTCTTTAGGAAGGCAGCGCTGTCCAGCCTGTTAGAGAGACTGTTCTGATGGCAATGTGGATGAGAGATGGAGAGATGGGAGTGGTTAGATTACAGGCTGCAGCCTCATTATGACGACTTCGCAATAGCCTTTTAAAGAGGTAATGAACCCTGTGGCAGGTCCTCTTGGCTGGCTACACCAACACCCTTTGCCACGTTCCTTCTCCCTTGCCTGAGACCACTATGAAAGAAGGAAAAGTTACATCCTCCCTGCCTCCCCTCTTTTTTCCCCCCTCCCTTTATCTAACAGATATTTATGGATCATTCGCTATTTGCTAGGCACTGGTGATACTGCAGTGAACACGACAGAACTCTTCCTCTCGTGGAGCTTACGACCTCATGGGGAGAGATAGACAAGAAACAAATAGAGAAACAAAGTCTGTCTGTTCTAGGTCACGTGGTGATGAGTACACGGAAGAAAAGCAAAGCACAGTAAGGGGATAGAGAGATGGAGAGGGGGTGTAGTGCTGTTTTAGATAGGAAGCCAGGGAAGCCCTCTCTGCTAAAGAGACATTTGAGAAAGACCTGACTGAAATGAGGTGTAAGCCCCGAGGCCATCTGTGGGAAGAACGTTCCAAGCAGATAGAACAGCACGTCCGTCCAATGCCCAGAGGAGAGAACTTCTTGACGTGCATGAAGAGGAGCAAGAAGGCCATGGAGGCTGGCTCGAACCAGGGAGGAAGTGGTAGCAGATGAGTCAGACACGTTGTCTGAGGTTGATCGTGTCAGACTTCGCAGACCAAAGTCAGGACTTGGAATTGTACTGTCAATAAAGATCAGACATCTTTGGGAGGTTTTAAGAAGAGCAATGACATGATGTGACAGCTCACTCTGGCTGCTGTGTGGCCAAGAGACTGCAGGGATGCAGAGTAGAAGCCAGGGGCCTGTTAGGAGTCATCTAGGTGAGAGATGGTGGTGTGGACTGCAGCCTGGTGGCGCGAGAAGTGGTTGGAGTCTAGAGACACTTTGCAGGAAGAGCTGACAAGATTTGCTGGTGGAGTGTTGCGAGGTTACAGAAGTAGAGAGGAGAGCATTTGCCATTTATTGTGTTGGGAAAGACTGGAGGAGGAGGAGTTTGCAGGGGATGATCAAGACTTTGGATTTGGGCCTGTTAAGTTTGAGATGCCCCTTAGATATGCAAGTGGGTGTGTCGAGAACTCAGTTAACCAAATGAGTGTGGAGTTTAGAGCAGAGGTGCCGGGTGGGAATATAAAGGTGGGAGCTGTCAGCGTTTAGTTGTGCTGTGACACGGGAGGGAATCACCTGGGAGGGTATCGATAGAGCACAGATCCAAGAACTGAACCTTGGGATATTTTAATGATTAAAGGTCCAGAAGGAGAGGTAGAATCAACAAAGGAAACTGAACAGTATCAGGAGGAAGGGCATGAGGAGAACAAAGGGAGGGTAGAATCCCATAAGCCAAGAGAGAGAAGTAGTTTGAGGAGCAAGGAAGGATTTTTCTGTATCAAATGCACAAATTTTGCCCTGAAGTCAAGCAATGAGGCTTGACTTCGAGGAGCTCTTGGTACCTCTGACTGAGGTGCAGAGGAACAGGGGATCAGATTTCAGCTTGTGTAGGAAAGAAGGTTGGGGCATGTGGATTAGTTATCTACTGCTCCCCGACAAACCACTCCAAAGCTTAGGAGCTTGAAACAATAGCCATTTATTTAGCCCATGATTTTGGTGGGTCAGCAGTTTGGGCTGAGCTTGGCTGATCTCAGCTGGGCTTGCTCATGCGTCTCCAATCAAGTGGTAGGTCAGCTGGGCTGACTTGTTGATGCTGGCTTTGTCTGGAGCGGCCCCAGTTCCTGAGGCCTCTCTCCATGTGGTCTCTCCTCCTCCAGCAGGCCAGTCCTGGATCTCTCACGACACGGTTCCAGGGTTCCAAGAGCAGCAAGCAAAATAGCTCTAAAGTGCAAGCATTTTTCAAGTCTATGGTTGTGGCAGTTTGCTACTGTCCTATTGGCCAAAGCAAGTCACACAGCCAAGTCCAGAGTCATTGTGGGAGAGGACTCCCCAAAGGCTGGTTACACAGAGGTGGGCACATTGGGTCCATGACCGCAGTGGTGTACCCAGGGTGGGAGAGCCTGAGCAGAACAGAGTTGAAATGTACAGAGAAGCGATAGATGACTTGTGTGGATTGGCTTGCAAATTGCGTTACCTACAGCAATGATTCTCATTACGATCTTTCCAAATACAGTGGAGGCATATTAACAACTTATTTAATGCCTATTTAGAGGACACTGAAAATAAATAAATAGAATTATTAAAATTAGGATATGAACATAGCACTTCCAGGAAGAATAAAAATTATTTTCTACCCATTCTAGTTGAGCAATTTAAGTTATGTAAAGTCTTTAAAAACATTTTTTTAGAACAGGCATTTCTTCTGGGATTAGCAAGGCATCTGCTCTTGATAATCAAACTCAATTACTTGCCACCAAATTTTTATTAAGAAATATCAGCTTATTTCACAGACCCAGTGTGTGTGTATGTGTGTGTCTGTCTGTGTGTGTGTGTGTGTGTGTATGTATATGCTTATGAAACAAATACAGATAAAGAAAATAATGTCTATACTCCTGAAGGATTTCTACCTTTGCTTCATAATTATACCATAAAAATACAATTCTACTAACAGCCAGCTATATCATTGCCAAGCTTTGGGAGAAACCTCACCTCTGTTCAAGTCCAGCTGACCCTGGGATTATGATTATTTGGGAAGATTTTAAGACACCAAACCCAGTAGAAAACCCATCGTGAATCTATGTTTCTGGCTTCCCCATCTTGCCACATCGGTTTCCTCGTCCCTGTTGGATAAGGACTGCCCACCCTCTCAGAATGGGTCTGTTAGATGAACCAGAAAGTTTTGTAAGTGAAAAATTGGGGAAACCAGTGACTTGACAGTTGATACCTCAATTTTTAAAAATTATGTTAAAACTGAAATTTGAGGATTTAGTCACTTCCAGAAAGCTAGATGGCTGTTGTGAGTCCTTTTCCTCCAGTCTAGGGTCTCAGTGATGCCATTTTGTGGCATGTGATTGGAATTGATAGGCCAGGGCGGAGAATTGGCCTCATAGGGGCAGCAAAAGCGCTTATATGTAGTGATTGGCCATAATTGTTCAGGAGTTGACTAATCCCCAACCCAGGACTCTTCTTCCA